CAGAGCCAGCTAGATGCCTTTTCCAGAAGTAACCAAGAAGATCTATTGTTATCACGACAGGTAGATCTAGAACTATATTTTATAAACAATGAGTCCAGCCTAGTAATGAATCAATGCAGTGGGTCCAGAGCAGCATTCATTTTTTAAGGTCATTAAAAAGATATATTTGAATGAGCACTGGGTGTTGTATGGAAACCAATTTGACAATAAATTTCATGTATTAAAAAAAAAGATATATTTGAAAGTATTATGTTTCACACAGCGTGTGTGTTGGTTTTACACATAGTGTAAATGTACATCAGAGCCACAGAGTGTAAAATGTAACTTTACAGTTCCCATCACAAGGTAATGTTCCAAGCAGTCTGCAAGCCACTCACCTGGTAGACCTAGAAGTTGGAAATTATGAAAGCCACTCCCACACAGAACCTCCATCCTTACCTCCCATGAGTCACTTTGGAACCCAGAAACCTGAATGACCCTAATGAAACAAGTCAGATCCATTTCTTCTCTGATCAAAGCCCTTCAGGGGCGCCCGTCTGAGGAGGGCAACAGGTATGAGGCAGCATGTATTTCTCTTTGTTTGTTGTGTTAGCATCCTAAAAAAAAATATATTCCAAATCAAAAATATGGGCTGCATAATATAAATAAATACGGCTTTGTGGGGAAGGGGCTCTGGGAAGAGACTTCACAGAGATCGGCAGCATCCTTCAAAGCGGCTGAAATTAAGAATGGATATTCACAGCTAGGGTCTGTATATGAGATGAGCCATTTTAAAAACAGGACATTCGTACAATTCCCCTGGAAGAATTCTGGGCGTACCTGAAGGAGAACACTGCCCAGAACAGCTGGCCCATAGACAGAGAGGCTCCCAGGGAGGCAGGACTCTGCATCCATGAGAGGATGCTGACGACCAAGAAATGAGCAGGGGTCCCACACAAGCCCCCAGTCTATAGGCACGAAGCAAGAGGGGCTGCTTCTCGTGTGGGCAATTCCTGCAGCCTTGGTCCAAGGTGAGCGGCAGCAGGAACACAGTGTCCGGTGTGCTGCTGCACGGGACAGCAGCACCATAACAAAATAATGAGGCCAATTCTCCGTGCCTCAGAAACAGGAGAAGCACTCAGCAGGAGAGTAAAGCGCGATGCCGCATCGGCTTCTTCCCTTCCCTGTCCATCCCTCTTCGCTCCTCTCTGGAGCTGTGGCAGCTGTCCTCTCAGTTGCATGTGGGGCCTCCACTGGGACACCTCATGGTGTCCCCAGCAGCACAGGGGTAACCAGACTCTGAAGGGGCAGCTCCTGGAAGTCAGAATGTAAAATCGTGGTGCATTTGTTCATTTGTTGACTTGGTTACTGTCTGTCTGTTGGATTAGTGAGCTTGCATGAACAGGGATCTCATCTGTCTTGTTCTCTACCAAATTCTCAAGGCCACGGACAGCATCTGACACAAAGTTGGCAAGCAGTGAATATATCTTAAACGGATGAATGTTCAGCAACAGAGAAAGTGAGAGCTGTGGTGGCCATAGGTTCTCCAAGGACAACTAGGCAGATTGCGAATGGTTTGTACCCCTCTGTACCTGGGAGGTAGCCCTGTATATCCCCTCTAGGGTGACTTGACAGTTTGCCATGCATATGGTGTAGCTGTGCCTTTGTGTGTTTACCAGGTGAAAAGAGACGGCAGGCGGAAGGAAGTTCACAAGCAAAAGCACCAAGGCTTGTAAGAACACAGGGCACAGCATTACCAGGAGTGACGGAGGTGCCGCCTAAGAGGTCAGGTGCCTGGGAAGGCATGGCTAGAGGCTAGGCTGGACAGGTAAGGTCCGGTTGTGGAGACACATACCATTAACAAGTTTGCACTTTATTCTGTAGCCAACTCGGGATCCCTTAGTGGTTTGGAAGGAGACTAATGATGTGATCAGGTAACTCTGAAAGCAATATGAAAGAAGGATCAGAGAAAAGAAGGTTCTGTAAGTAGGGAAGCCAATTATGAGTCTATGACGCATGTGCAGATTCAGAGATAATGGGGGCTGAGATCAACGTGTCGCCATGGAGATGGCCTCTGGGACAATGAAAAGAGGTGACCAGTTGGAAATGTGAGTGTGAATGTTAGATATCAAGATCGAATATTCAGACCGAAAGTCACATGGGTCCTGTTGAAGTCATGGAAGAAAATAAAAACGCCTAATTTGAGTAATGTATCATTTAGAAAATCTGATGAAAACTGGTGTTTTTAGTTTCAGAGGCTTTGCACATACCCACCAAAAAAGCCAAGAAAAGGTCCATGGACATCAGTTAAGAACACCTGATTGAACAGAGGAAGAATGACGGAGCCCCAACCTCTCTCAACGACTACAGTTGGTATTGGCTACAGCCCATCCAAGAGGTAGGAGAAGAAGACAGGACCAGAGAAATGGAGAACTTTGTTCTTGAGGTCAGAGGTGCCTCACACAACACCAGGGAGACTAACCACATAGCAGAAGATGAATAAAGAGATAGAGCTCACTTCTAATTTTTTACATGTTTAGAAAAGATAAATTGTTTAAGTAGAAATGACCAGAAAGCCTCATCAAAGAACTCAGGTGGGTTCAGACACAGTCAGGTGCAGGTGGAGTGCAGCACTCTCAGGAAGCCAGAGATAAAGACGCTTTCCAGGCAGAAGCAGGCCTCTTTCTTCAGTAAACTCAACAAGACTTGCTTACCGACTGAATCACTAATAATTTCTATACTTCTATACGTAACGGACTCTGGTGTTCAGGTGTGTGCAACTGCCTACATGTGTGTATACGCCAAATATATACACGATACACAGTATTGTGTGTATACACCAAACAGCATATTTATCTATAGATGTGGATATGAACACATATTTACATATAATTTTTCATTTACATAAAGGTATGTTTATCCATTTAGCATATATACATATGCATATGCCATATAGTCTAGAAAACTTCCATAATGTAATATTTAATAAATATCCACATGCTCCTTCTATATACATGGCTTGGACTGAGGACACCTTGGCTGTGACCCAATGTTTATGATGATTCTCTGGAGAAATTTCTTTGTGGTCTTACTATTAAGAAGAGTTGATACTCTCTTGAGTAATTTTTTTTGTCTTGCACGTGACAGAAATTTTATTCTAGACCAAGCTCCCTTTTGAACATGACTACTAGAAATCTGGGAGACAAATTTTGGTCCCAGTTGTAACCAAGTGCATGGAGATCTATGTGGTGCGTTAAAAAAAACAAAAACACAAAAACACGACTTTCACTTCTGGCTCCATTTTATATGCCTTATTTTTCACTTTTCGTTTCACTCACTTTTTTCTGTAGGTTATGTGCCTTTGTACGCTTTTCTTTTGGCATATAAACACGAAGAAATATAGAAATGACATCACAGAGGGAGACTTTAAGGTCCAGAACATTATGGCTGGGAAGAAACCTATTATTGTGGCTGGAGTTAAGGCATGTAACGATGATAATGGGTGTGTTATTAGGACAGCCCAGCAGCGTTTACAGGGAGTGAGACAGATCTCAGCCCAGGTCCCAGTTCTCTCTGCTGGTTACCAGTCGTGTGGTGGGAGGCATCTTACTCTCCAGGTCCTCTCATCTCGAAAACAGTGACTTCTTGGGATTTGGGGGGATGGCTTAAACGAGGCAACGTATAGAAAGCACTTTAGCACAACGCATTCCATCAGTTAGCTGCTGTTACCATCACTATCTTTTGGACAAGCAGAGCTAGGCCGCCATTCCTGGCTCGGTCCGCTGTAAGAAAGTTCTCCCCCCC